CCGAGCTGAAAGGCAGGGCGGACTGCTGGGGGACAGAGAGGAGCTCGTGTGGCAGGAGCGCCGCCTTCCAGGAGAGGCCATGACCTGTGGACTGATGAACACGCAGAGCAGGGGAGAGCGCGACGGTGGGGCCGCGTGCTATGCAGCTGCTACGTGCCAGGTACCACTCTAAGTGGTTGTTACGGGCTGAATTCTGGTCTGGTCTGCTGGGGCCTAGGGCCGGGGGTTAGTCCAAAACCACCACCTCCCACACACTCTAACACACTGCACGCTCAAAAATGGTTGAGATGAAAAATTTTATGGTATGTATAGTTTATCACAATTTAAAAACAAATAAACAAACAACATTCCTGATGGGAGTACGGACTGGCTCTAACCTATGGAGTGTCATTCAGCGAAATCTGTCAAAACTAAAATTCAAATGTCTTTTGAACAATGTATATACTAATGCGGACATGTTAACATACATATGGAAACGTGTATGAGGATATTTATTATGGCATGAGATGAAGAAGCAAAAAGACTGAACACATCCCAAATGTCCGTCGCTGGGGGATGGATAAATTAGGTCGGTACGTCCACCGCGATGGAACGCACAGCACCGTAACGAAAGGCGGGGCAGCTTGTTAGCTGCTGCTGTGGAGCGATCTCGTGAATACACTGTTACATAAAAAAAACAAAAATCAATCCCCAGAAAAATGTGTCCAGTTTGCTAAAATTTCCATAAAGGGAAATAATTAAGGATATTTATACGTATGGGCCTCTATAGGCACAGACTCTTTTTGGAAACATACGCAAGAAACTGGGACAAAGTACACTTCTGTTATTTAAGCCGCCTGGTCGGCGGTACTTTGTTACCGCAGCCCGAGCAGACGCGTACGTTGTCTTGCTCACTCCTGAATCCCCAGTGTTTAGGATGATGCCCCGCATGTAGCCGAGGCTCAACACGCAGCTTCTGGCTGAATGCAAGGGCCAATGCATGGGCTGGTGTAAGGGTTAACTGAGTCAATCCATGTAAGACACTCAGAACAGCAGTGCATAGCATACAGCAGGTGCTCAATAACCGCCAGCTTTTATGACTGACACCTGCAGGTCCTCGGCTCTCTCCAGTGCGCTGAGCACCCCCAACTAAGCCACCAACTAAGTTCACCCTCCCTGGGTGGGCCTCCCACTGCTGGCCAGTCCCTCCAGGGTCCCCGGGTCCCCTTCTGGGGCCTGGCTCGGACCAGCCTCCCTGCCCAACAGCCACCTATGGTGCCCCTCCCTGGCTGTGTTTCCCTGGACAACCACCTTCTCCTTTCTGAGCCTCATCTGTGAAATGGGCTTCATGATAACCTGTCCCCTCCACAGCGGTCGTGGGGGTTAAATGAGATGGTGCATAGATGGAGCCAGCCCCGTGCCTGGCCTGGGTGGAGAAAGTGCTCAGTAAACGCCAACGGTTGCTATTACTATTTGATTAACTTTGATGTTTAATATATATCTGATGTAAAAGTATTAATACTTATAATTATTATATGGTATTATTTGACTATTTGGCCCAATACATCCTTCAGCCAGCCCAGCTAATAATTCCTTCTTTTTTTAATATAAACCACTTGATTAAGGAATGATCGCCATACAAAACTGCACATACTTGATGTACACAACTCAGGGAGTTTGGGAATGAGTGAAATTACTACCCCAATCAAGGCCATAAGCTTACCAACTACCTCTAAGAGTCCCCTCCCACCTCCTTCATTTATTTATTTCACAAAAATTTCATACAACAATTCCTTCTGAAAGTCTTCCCTAAGCACGCCCCACCTAATTCGCTCCCTCAGTGAAATACTCGCTGAGCAGGCTCCGTGCACCAGGACCAGGCTGGTACCCAGGACTTGCTGAGAAACAGGACAGGGCCTCGAAGGCCAGGAGCCCAGCATCTTGGGGACAGACATGCCACAGCAAGGGACTCCTCTGAGCTCTCTGAGTGTACATGTCCGAGGCCACTCGTTCTAGTGCTTCATCGTTTTCGGTTTCCTGTCTAATGACACAAACTGTTTCACCATAAGGAAAACCTCTCAAGAGCTGAAATCAGATAGGATCTATTTAAAAAAAAAAAATCAGAATGTAATTATACTAGAAGTTTTTTTAAAAAAAACAAACTTACACCAAAAATCCCAACTATTTGAAATAAAAACAAACAAATCCTTCTAAATAATGCAGGTAAAAGAATAACTCAATACAAGAATCACCGATGAATTCAAAATGAAGACAGCATGGCGACTCCCTTTGGAAAAGCCTGGCGGTTCCTTAGATGGCTAAACAGAGGGAACCACAGGACCCAGCAATTCCGCTTCTAGGCAGACACCCAAGAGAACTGAGAACACGTGTTCAAACAAAGACTTGCACACAAATGTTCACAGCAGCATTACTCATAACAGCCAAAAAGTGGAAACAACCCAAACGTCCATCAGCTGATGAGTAGATAAATACAACGCGGTGTAGCCATACAATGGGATATTATTCTACCATGAAAAGAAATGAAGTTCAATACACGGTATCACGTGGATGAACTTCACAAACATTATGTAGCTGAGTGAGAGAAGCCAGTCAAGAAGGGCCGCACAGTGTATGATTCCACCAATAGGAACTGTCCAGAACACTCAGATCCATGGAGGCAGATCAGTGGTTGCCAGTGGCTGGGGATGAATGATGGGGGAAAACACGAGTGAGTGCTAACGGGTACACAGTTCCTTTCGTGATGATGAAGACGATCTGAAATCAACTGTAGTGATGGTTATACAACTTTGTGAACATACCAAAAATCAATGAATTGTACACTCTGTGGTACATGAAACGTATCTCAACAAAGGTATTAAATAAATGAAGACATGACAAACCAAAACTCCCAAATAAGTCAACTGACATATTTATACAGCAAAATAAATTCCAGGGGGATTAAAAAGTTCACTGTTAACATTCAAATGATAAATGGTAACAAGGAAGAAAATACAGGTACCATCTGACCTGTGGACAGAGACACCCTTTCACTGTTTAAAGATGAAGGAGGACACCACAGTGGAAGAGACCAACAGATTTGATTTGAAAAATATGAAATGCTTTTGTACTGAAAAATTAAGTAAATTAAATAAATAAAGAAGAAAACAAAAAGTACACCTGGGAAGAATATTTGCCACAGATGTTTACACACACACATTTACTTCTGTAAAATCTTTAAGAATACTAAGATTCCTATAGATAGGAAAAGTGCAAGATGGGTCATTTACCTGCCTACAGAAATGGCTAATAAATATTCTCTAAGAACTGAAGCTCACCGACAGTACAAACAGCGCTACTCAGAAAGAGATCTCATGACACCATTTGTCACCTATTATGCCCAAGGTTTAACCATTTGTCATTTATATCCATTTATCATTTATAGCCAGTGCACCAAATAAACACCTGACAATGGCCAGTGTAAACCAGGGGAGGCCCTTTCCAACACGCTGGCAGAAATACATATTGCCGCAACTGATTTGGAAAATAATACAAAGACTTATGAAAGTCCTCAAAAATATCCAAACCAATATTCCTCTTTAAGGAACTGGTCCTAAAGGAATCATATAAAATGCAGGGAAATACTTATGCCCAACCTTGTCTCCTGTGATACTGTTTATAAACACGAATACCAAAAAATGTCCGAAATCAAATGAACCATTAAGTAAACCAGGGTACGGCCACTAGATAAAACTTTCATGTAGTCATTAAAACCAATGCTACAGAGGAGTTTCTAATGGTGTAGAGAAATGCTCAGGATGAAATCTTTGATGAAAAGCAGGATATAAAAATTGCTTAGCCACAGTGATTCTTATTTTCACAAAACAACATTCATATCCAAGAAGGAAAAGACACTCAAAACTTCCAGAGTGGTGATCTTTTCGGGTAAGATCATGGCTTAATTTGATTCTCTTAGCTATATTTTTCTGGATTTTCTAAGATTTTTATAATGATCGTGTATTTCCTTAACTATCAGGAATTGTCTTTTATGACATATTATTTATAGCCCCAAAACTGCTTTTTTTTTAAAAGGTCAAATTCACCAATACTGGATGGACATTGAGGTACACTGGTTATGCAGTCAAAACAAGTGACATCTGCAAAGTTTTCAAAGGCAATGGGAAATCCCTGTTGCCTGAGGTTAGATGGGGGGAAAAAACCATCAAGATTAAAATGGCAAGGCCAAGACTTAGTCAATTTTTAAAAATAATCATCAGAGAAGACAATAAATGAACACACAGATATCTACATGGTTATCTCTGGGAAGAGGGCCTATCGGCGAATTATATTGTCTTACCTAGAGTTTGCTGGATTTTGCCAGCTTTCTATTAATATAATGACCACACATATGTATATTTTATTATGAAATATTTCTGGCTTAAAAGAAAGTAGAGAAAAATACAACAGATGCCCACATACGCACCACCAAGCTAACGATGTAAAACATCATGGCCAGGACTGAAGATGCCCCTGAGCCCCTACCCAAAAGGATCCTCCTCCTCTCTGGAGGTGGCCACTGTCTTCAATGCGGTGGGCCGAGTCCCGCGTTTTGTGCTTTCACCGCATGGGAGAGCTCAGGAGGGACACAGTGCTGTCTGCCTGTTTCTAACGGCCACGCGTCCAGCACAGGCCTGCTGAGTCCTTTTCACTGTCACGTTTGAGCCATTACTGCGCAGGTGCCCACCGATGGCTCCCAGGAGCCCCGAGGGCAGGTCTGGCCACCCGAGCTGCTCTGTCCCCCACAGCCAGCATCGGAGGCAGACAAGGGGCTGTCAGCCCACAAGGCCTAGGACAGAGGAGCAGCAGGAGCATGGGCGCTGCCCTCCTCATCGGGGTGGACACAGCTCTCAGGACACGGGCCGGGGCCTGAAGGGGGTCGGATGTCAGAGGCTCACCTGAAGGCAAGAGCCTGGCCCCTGCGCATGAGCTTTCAGGAAGGAGGGCGAGCGGGCGACACGACTCACCAGGGCCTCGTCAGGCAGCAGCTGAGTGGCCATCCCTCCGGGAGGACGGGCCTGGGGGGCCAGCAGGGCTGTTGGGGGAGAGAAAGAGGCACAGTGAGAGACCAGGCTGGGCCCACCGCACAGATGCAGACGGGGCAGGCATACACCCCCCGAGAGATGGGCAGAGAGAGAGACAGACAGACACACACACACACGTGCACACACACACACGTCAACGGTGAACGTTTATGGGGCTTACTGCATGCAAGGCACTTGATAAATGTCTCTGACTGGATCCTCCAACCACCCTGGACGGAAGGCACTACTTCCACCCACCCCGATTCACAGATGGGGAAACTGAGGCCCAAAGAGATTAAACCACTCACTCAAGATGACAAAGGTGGGACTGGACTTGGCGGAGTATTTCTGCCTCCACATGCCGACCACTAGGCTACACTGCCTCTCAGATGCATGCCCCACGCACTCACTCCCGCAGGCTGCTGGGGGCCACGGGATCCCCTGCCTCCACCAGCAGCACCTCCCGGACGCTCTCCTTGGGTCTAAGTGCTGGACTGAGGCTTCCTAGATGCCCCAGCACCTTTCCCTGGCCCTTCTGGGTGCTTCCCCCAGACCTCATGGGGTTACTGAGAGGTTCGAGTAACAGATACGCGTAGGACCTTGGCGTTGGCCTGGTGCACAGTAAGAGCTACGCTGCCACCATTACCACCGATGTCAGCTGAGCATGTTCCAAAGAGCAGGACACCCTAGGCTCGGGGCCCTCAGAGGTAGAATCGCCCAGGGGAATGCATTCAGTTTTGACTCCCTTCCAGTTCTCCTGACACGCTCGGGAGAAAGTCTCAGTGGCCACTAGTGTGTAGCACCCCCTTCCCCCGACTCCACTCTGAACAAGAGAAAATAGGGCTCAGGTCTCAAGCTTAGGCCAACCATAGTACCTCATTAGAACTACTTGGCTTTACTTTCATTTGTTTTAATGTTGCTCTTTTTACAATAATACTCAGCTTTTATCTACAGTAGTCACACGGAGTTCCCTTTTAAACTAAGTTGATTTAAATTTTTAAAAAATCAGTGAGCCAATTCAAATAAAAAGCAAAGTACAAAATAGGACAAGTGGCACAGGTTAAGGCAAATTCTTGAAGTTTGAGACATGTTGGCTCAGTCCTGGCTCCTCAGGGACCTGCCTAGATTTGCATGCCTCCCATAACAGGGAGCTCATCACCTGAGCCACCAACACTTCTGACTGGAAACAAGTTTTCCTTCTGCTATAAACTGAAACATGCCTCCCTAAGTCTCCAACACCTTGGGGTCACCCAGAAAAAACCCCAGTCCTCTCCTATACAACAGCCTTTTAGCTACAGCACCAATTCTCAAAGGACCAGAATCACTGAGGTTGCGTATTAAAATGTTATTACTCAGAATATAGATTCCTAGACCCAGATCCTCTGAATCAAACCACCTGGGTGGGGCCCAGGAATCAGTATTTCCAAACAAGTTTCCCAGGTGATTCTCACACATCTTCAACATAAGAACCACTAAGACAAAGAAGGGCGTTTCTGAGGCCAAATGGCCCCAACTTCCACAAGCAAAATGCCAAATGATTTTAATTGTAGGGAGACACACACAAGGCCAAGCTGGAGCCTTTAGAGCAGCAATTCTCAACCAGGGGCAATTTTTCCCCAGGAGACATTTGTGGTTGTCACAATTTGAGGGAGGCAGAGAAGCTATGGGCATTTAGTGGGCAGAGACCTGGGATGCTGCCAAATATCCTACAATGCACAGGGCAGACCCCACAAAGAATGATCAGACCCCAAATGTCAGTAGCGTCGAGGTCGAGAAACCCTGCTATAGAACTAAAGGATCACAAAGTGTCAGCTTGTGGCTCTAAGACATAATGTCTGTAAACTAAGGTGTTGCACCTGGCCCACCATTTTACTGGTGCTCAGTAAAAACATCCTCTGGCTTAAAGCTCTCCAGCAGCTTCCCCCAGCACTAGAAATCTCTGGAAGTCTTCTCCACCGCCCACACAGCCCTTTGGTCTGCCCTCAGTGGCCTCCCCACTCCCACACTTGGCCCCAGCCCTTGGCCTTTATAGCTGCTGTTCCCTCTGCAAGGACTGCTCTTCCCATAGCTGGCTCTGTCGCACGGTCTGATCAAATGTCACCTCCTTGGAACAGTCCCCACTCCCAAGTCTCTGAGCTCAAGCAGCAAGCCCCTCCCCCTCTGTCTCCTTTACAGCACACATCACTATCTACAACTGTCTTTGAAAAAACAGTTGTCTCCAAGTTTGCCACCTGTTTCCCCTCCACCAGAGCATAAGCCCTCACGGAGCAGGGATTATCATTTTTGGATTGTATCTCCAGCTTCCAGGACAATGTGTGGCACACGGGAGGTGCCCAGACATCAATTTGAGTGAACAGATGAGCTAACTTTTAGCACCAACCAGGATGCAAGAGGACCAGCCCCCTCACACACCGGAGAAGGAATGTGAGTCGCTCAGTCTTTTTCTGGAAAGTCAGCTGGCAATATACATCTGTATATTGCCATTACCCAGCAACCCTGTTTCTGGGAATCTGCCCACAGCAATAAAAGCTCCATGTAAAAAGGTTACACACAGAAAAAAAGATGTTTGGCTGGGCACAGTGGCTCATGCCTGTAATCCCAGCACTTTGGGAGACCAAGGTGGGAGGATTGCCTGAGCGAGACCCTGTCTCTATAAAAAATTTTTAAAAATTAGCTGGGCATGGTGGTGAGAGTCTGTAGTCCCAGCTACTCGGGAGGCTGAAGCAGAATCGCTTGAGCCCAAGAGTTTGATGCTGCTGTGAGTGATGACTGTACCACAGCACTTCAGCCTGGGCAAAAAAGAAAAAGAAAAAAAAAAGAAAGGAAAGAAAAAAGTATGTTTATGGCAGCACTGTTTCTAGAGGCAAAACAAAACAAAACAAAAAACCCAAACCAACCAACCAACAAACAAAAACGCTCTGGAAACAAAATTAATAAACGTTACTAAAGGAATGGGTCAAATAAATGGTGGGGTCTCCATACTATGAAATACCAGGCCACCTCTAGAAAGGAGAGAGTTCTGCATCTGTTGACTTATCTGTGGTATCATTGAGTGAGAAAAGCAAGTTACACGGTTTTATGAATCACTTCAGCCCTTTGTGGAAAAACAAACCAACACACGTGTGTATGTGTCTTTCCAGCGTTTTCCAGCCGAGGGAAAGCTGTGGAATGAGGCCAGGCTGGTGCCTCAAGTGCACAGAGAGGGAATGAGAATGATGGTGGGAGTTCCTAATTTTTCTTTCCATTCCTTTGAACTGTTTCCCTGGGTACAGCAACCTCATGTTACTGTCATTTTTGAAACATAATTTAATTTTTAAAAGCATATTCCTTCCTTCTGGGTTAGTGGTCTCACCCCTGTGCTTAATCTCTTTTAAAATCATAAGGAAAACAGATGAATCTAATACAGCCTGGATTATATCTATGAAATCACACAGTATACTTTTAGGGTTTTCTTTTTTTTTTTTTGAGACAGGGTCTCCCTCTGTCGCCCAGGCTGGAATGCAGTGGCGTCATCATAGCTCACTACAGCCTCCAACTCCTGGGCTCAAACAATCCTCCCACCTCAGCCTCCCCCAAAGTGCTAGGATTACAGGTGTGAGCCACCTTCCCCGGCCAGGTGGGTTTTTTGTAGTGGAGCAAGGGCCCCGTGAAGGCAAAGTGCCCCTGAAAATCATAAAGCAGCCTTGGAAATGACTTGCCCAGGAGCACGGCTGGTGACTGTTGAACCCAGTCTGGCCTTAGATCTGCGTAGCTGCAAAACCAGTGGCTTCCTCATTCCTCTTCTCCCCCTGGGCTTTCTGGCATTTCCCTCCTTTCTTCCATTTCCACTCTTTCTAACGGGGAGAGTCCCTTGGGGAAAATCCTACAACCTTGTCTCAGCTGAACAGAAAAGGATCCCCCATTTGTCTGGTGGTTAATTGTGGGGGCTCAAACCCAGATGCCTGGGTGTAGCCTTGGGTGATTCACTTAAGGTCTCTGAGCCTCGGTTTCCCCATGTGCAAGATGAGGGTGACGATGGTCCCCACCTCAGGGTATTGGGGGGCCTATCGATGAGGCAGTTCTGGCAAAGAGCCCCAAACGGCACTGCTCAACACACATGCCCTGAGCGGATCAATCCCTGCTTGGTCACAATGGAGCAGGGGATGGAGACCCTTAAAGGGTCCGACTCCCCTTTAAGAAGGCCCTGTGGGAGGCAGAAGAAGCAACAGCTCCCCTTGACCCCACATCCTGTCACTCACACCCCGCCTGCGCTCCCAGGACCCCAGCCCTCCGGAGCCTTCTGTGGCCAGACAGCGCTCTGGGGGGCAGGAAGAAGCGAGGGGTTGGCGGTGTGGGGCCGGGGCGGGGCAGACTAGGGGAGGAGCGGGGCAAGGAGGCAGCGGCTCCGCGAGGGCCCCCGTCCGGCTGCACGCGGCCTGGTGCCTCGGTCACACCCACACATAGACCCACCCGAACAGCCACACACAAACACCAGGAAACGCTCGGAGACAGAGAAAGACCCAGAGGGCAGGAGACAGAACCGGGGAGGCAGAGTCCCGCACTCTCGCCGAGACACGGCGGACACGGAGCGCACCGCCGCACACACTCCCGGGGACGGAGACCGAGGCAGGCGCGCACGCGCAGCAGAGGAGCCCAGCGGTCACGCAGAGACGGCCCCGCAGACACAGGCAGAGGAACGAGGCAGAGACCCAGAGGGACGCGCCCCGCGGAGACGCAGAGACCAGGACTCTCCGCAGGGGGGTGTGTGTGCAGGACGAGCTCACACAGACACAGGCAAAGACGAGGCCGCGCAGACCTCCCCGAACGGACCCAGCCGCAGCCGCAGCCGCAGTCTCGGGACAACACAATCTCCCTCACACCCACACGCATTCGCCTTCTTCCCGGATCGCAGCCTCGCGGTCAGTCACAGCTCCCCTGGCTCCACTCCTGTCCCGCCCTCACACTGTCCTTCCCCGGGCCCTCAGGCGGGCTCCCGGCCCGCGCTCCCCCGGCCGCGCGCCCGCTCC